AGGAGTTTATTAGGTTACAAGTTTAGAACCCTCACAAACTGGATTAGTGCCTTTTTTGGGGGGTACTGAGGATTGAACCCAGGGATACTCAACCACTGAGCCACATCTGCAGCCTCTCCCCACCCTTTTTTTTAGTAGTCACTTTTATTTATTTTTTTGTAGTTATAGATGAATGCCTTTATCTCTACCTACCTCTTATCTACCTACCTACCTCTTATCTCTTATCTACCTACCTCTTATCTATACCTACCCTGTTATTTTGTTTTTTTAATTTTTTTTGAGGGGGGGAAGCAGTAGGGGGGAAGGGGGGGTTACCCGGGATTGAACTCAGGGGTACTTGACCACTGAGCCACAACCCCAACCCTATTTCCTATTTTATTTAGAGACAGTGTCTCACTGAGTTGCTTGGCGCCTTGCTTCTGCTGAGGGTGCCTGTGAACTCTCAATCTTCCTGTCTCAGCCTCCTGAGCTGCTGAGATCACAGGTGAGCTCCACTGCGCCCGGCCTTATTTATTTGTTTTTATGTGGTGCTAAGGATGAACCCAGAGCCTCACACATGCTAAGCAAGCGCTCTGTCACTGAGCTAGAGTCCTAGCACCCCCCAGACCTTTTTTTGCTTAGGGTTCTCACTAAATTGCTTGGAGCCTCGCTAAGTTGTTGATGCTGACTTTGAATTTGTGATCCTCCTTTAATCAGGGAATAAATGATTACCAAACTGCTGTAATTACAGGTGTTTGCCACGGCACCCAGCAGATTAGTGCCCTTTTAAAAGAAGCCTGAGAGAGTCCTCTTTACCCTTCCACAGAGTGAGCTCCCTATGAAGCAGAAAGTAAGCCATCATTGCAGACTGAATTTGCTTTGATCCTAGACTTCAGTCTCCAGAAATGTGAAAAATGAATTTCAGTTCTTTATACACTATCCAGTTGATGATATTTTGTTATAGCAGCCCAAATGACTAAAACAACACATCTAATCTTTTCATTTCAGATAAAATTAATACTTTATTGGGTTATTCTTCCTTCTTCTCTCCCTCTCCCTCCCACTTCTGTGTTTCTACTGGGGATGTGACCTAAGAGTGTTCTACCATTAAGCTACTCCCCCAGCCCTCTCTTCCTCCTTTTTTTTTTTTTTTTTTTTTGGTTAATTTGAGACAGGATCTCACTAAGTTGCCAAGGCTGGCCTCAAACTTGAGATCCTCCTGATTCAGCTTCACAAATCATTGAGATTACAGGTTTGTGCCTCCATATCCAGCTAAAGGTAGCTATTTATTATAATAGCTATTATTTATTAAGCTCTTTTTAAAAATTTTTTGGTTGTAGATAGACACAATACCTTTATTTATTTTTATGTGGTGCTGAAGATCGAACCCAGTGCCTCACACTTGCAAGGCGTGTGCTCTACCACTGAGCCACAACCCCAGCCCCTATTAAGCTCTTAACTTAGTTATGTCTCCTTAATTACATTAAATTTCAGATGAGTTTATATGTGCTAGTTTATTCCCCCATCAAACCTTCCAAGTTTTCCCTTAGCTTCATATCAATGAAGGTCGCCTCAAGACAAGATTTATTATTCCCAGTACACAACAAAAGTTGTCAACAAATCTTAGAGAATAGATTTGAGGGTTGGGAGTGTAGCTAAGTGGTAGAGCACATGCTTAGTATGTCAAAGGCCATAGGTTTGATCCCCAGCAACCACCCCCTGCAAAGGTAAAAAGTAAAGGAATACTTTGGCTGTATATAAAGTATACATGGGAAAATTACTGAAACCCAAAGTGAATTTGCCCAGAGGTTAGAGCCAAGGGGAAATCAATAAAATTGATAAACCTCTAACTAAATTAATGAAGGATCAGGAGGGGAAAAAAAAAAAAAAAAGATAACAAGCCAAGCCACATGGGGCATGTCTGTAGTCCCAGCTACTCAGGAAACTCAGGCAGGAGGAGCACTTGAGTCCAGGAGTTCAAGGCCAACCTGAGCAACATAGCAATATTCTATCTCAAAAAAAAAAAAAAAAGTGTGTGTGTACACACATACACAAATACATACACACACACAAACACACACACACACACACACATACATACATATACAAATTACCAAAATAAGAAATGAGAAAGGGGATATAACTTCAAAAGAATAAAAAATGAACATGATAAACAACTTTATGCTAATAAATTTTAAAACAGATGAACACAAATTATCAAAACTGATACATGAAGAAAGAGAAACTCTGGTCTTACAACAATTTTTAATTTTTTAAAAAAAATATTTATTTTTCAGTTTTAGGTGGACACCATATCTTTATTTTACATTTATGTGGTGCTGAGGATTGAACCCAGTGCCTCGTGCATGCTAGGCAAGCACTCTACCACTGAACCACAACCCCAGCCCCTTACAACAATTTTTAAAAGTTAAATGTATAATAAAGAACCTTCCTATAAAATTAACTCCTGGCCCCAGATGGTTTCTCTGGTGGGTGGAAGGAAGGAAGGAAGGAAAGAAAAAAGTTCTACCTAAGCTTTCAGAAAATAGAAGAAAATGGTTTCCAACTCAGTACATGATGCCAACATTACCCTGAAACTAAAATTAGATACACTTTACAAGAAAACTACAAATCTCCTTCTGAGCATAATGCAAACTATGAATACCCTCTTCTGAACACAATGTAAAAACTGTGAACAAAATCTCAGCAAATCAAATGTACCAATATATAAAGTGAACAAGATAAAAACTATATCACCAGGAATGCAAGGTTGGTTTAACATTCAGAAATCAATCAAAGTAATTCACCTTTCCTATTTTTATTTTTTTGGTACCCGGGATTGAACTCAGGGGTGCTTAAACTACTGAGCCACATCCCCAGCCCATTTTATTTATTTATCTTTAAATATTTATTTTTTAGTTGTACTTGAACACAATGCCTTTATTTTATTTATTTATTTTTTTATATGGTGCTGAGGATCAAACACAGGGCTAGGTGAGAGCTCTACCGCTGAGCCACAACCCCAGCCCCTTACTTTATTCTTTTGAGACAGGGTCTTGTTAAGTTGCTAAAGCTGGCTTTGAACTTGCAATCCTCTTGCCTCAGCCTCCCAAGCCACTGGGATTACAGACATGTGACACCATGCCTGGCTATAATTCACCATTTTAAAAAACAAACAACAACAACAAAAAGTCATATGACCACCTTGAAAGAGGTAGAAAAATGCAATGAAACTTAGAAGCCACCATTCATGTTCACCTGTCTGACAAGTATGCCTGAGTCTGTGTCCAATTCATAAAACATCAGAGTTAAAATGCTTCAAAAAACAACTGTAAGGCCATTATACAAACAAATATATCACAGAGTATGGAGGGAAAAGAAAAATTCCAATCAGGGACTATGTATATTTTTAATAAATTAATTTGTTTGGTAAAAAATCATAGCTACATCTACGTGGCAAGTACCTGTATGTGCTCATTTTTGTATATATATTCATTTATATTTGCAGCATAAACTGAACATCAAACTGAGATGTCTAATTTGAGGTGAAAACTGAGTTTCTAATACTGTTATATAAATGGTTCATAAGAAAAGTGAATTTATACATTTTAAGATTTTTGTGTAAATATAATTTTTTTTTTTTTTTTTGAGACAGGGTCTAACTTTGTTGCTCAGAACAGAATGGTTACAAACTTTTGGGCTCAAGAGATCCTCCTGCCTCAGCCTTCCAAGTGCTGGGACCACCTAGCTTTAAGACCAAAAAAAAAGTTTTGTGTGAATTTATTCAAAACACACGCACACACACACACACACAAAAAAAAAAAAAAAACCAAACATCTCCACACACAACATTTTTTATTTTCCAGTACTGGGGATTTAACCTAGGGGGGCTTTATCACTGAGTTACATTCCTTAGCTCTCTTTAATTTGAGACAAGATTTTGCTAAATTGCTGAAACAACTTCAAACTTGTGTTCCTCCTGCATTGCTGAGATAACAGACATGCACCATTATGCCTAGCTAAGACAAAAATTTTTGAAGACAATTTCTGAAACATTCTTTTCTAAGTGTCATAATTGTAACTATGTGTAAACCCAAATATGTAAGTGTTCAATTTGATCTCTCCTTCCCATTCACTACTCCTTTTTTTTTTAATTTTTTTTTTTTCAGTTTTAGATGGACAAAATACCTTTACTTTATTTTTGATGTGGTGCTGAGGATAGAACCCGGTGCCTTCCACATGCAAGGCAAGTGCTCTGCCACTGAGCTACAACCTTAGCTCCCCCACTCACTACTTCTTAAATGAGATATTTATCAGATTACAAATACTTAAGTTCTAAAGAGAGATAACTACTGCCTAATTTACTATTTCAATTATATCTCAGAAACAGAAGGGAAAAATAGCACAGTGCTAGCATCTCCAAGGGTTAGGTGAATAAAACTAATCTAGTTTTTAAGAAACCTTTTTACAAGTGTGCAGTCACTTCAATGGAATATAAAAACAATAACATGTTAGAGACAGTGGATATAGCTCAGAGGCACAGTGCTTGCTTAGTAGGTATAAGGCCCTGGATTTGATCCCCAGCACTGCAAAAATATTAAAATAAAAATTTAAAAACACCAAAAACCTAAAATGAGATGTTGAAATTTTTCAAATGATAATAATTTACCCTTATGTCCAAGAGACACAAAATTTCATCTCTGAAGAACAAATTAATAGAGTAAAACCCCAAAATGTCCAAATATATTTATTAATGTATAATTTCACCAAATCATTTTTTACCAGGGTCTCTAAAATAATTTAGAACTTGATCTACCTATCTGGTTCAAGCTCATGAACCAAAATCTCAAGCATATAGGATTTCAATATGCACAAATCTAAATGAGAACAGTTCAACGCTAAGAGTTTCTGCCAGCCAAATATATAATTAAATCAACATATGTTTATTGGATTGCCCCCCATGGACCCACTGCCTCAAATCAGAAATAGCAGTTCTTAAGCAATAAGAAGTTATTACTCACCAGCAAGGGTGTAATCCATATCAAAACCGAAACATTTTATTTTTTCCATGGCTAAACTTCGGTTCACAAATACCCTATAGAAAAAGAGACAAAAAGAAAAAAGAAAATTAATACTGGGGAAGGAATTCTTAAGTTTAATTAAGTTATTTGGCTATTTTTCTAGATTTCTCATTTATTATTTTTCTTTTTATTGTATAGATTTAAAGTTTAACATGTTTCTTTGTGTGTTGTTTTTTGAGAAGTAGTGGGGATCAAACTCAGGGGTGCTTTACCACTGAGCAACATTCCCAGCCCTTTCCATTTTCTGTTTAGAGACGGGGTCTTGCTAAACTGCCTAAGATGGTCTTGAACTTGAGCAGCTGAGATTATAGGTATGTGCCATTGTGCCATTGATATTTTGGTTATTTACACACTTGTGAAATATGCTGAAATGAATATGGAAATTAAGATATTTTTGCAAGGTGATTATTTCATTTCCTTTGGGCATATTGCCTGAATAACATGATGTTTTGATGTTTACTTTGATATACATAGACACAGTGATTACTAGAGTCAAGCATATAGTTTTCTATCCTTCTTTCCTTCTTCCCTTCGATGGTAAGAGTACCAAAAATCTACTCTCTTGACAATATACCACATTATTAGCTATAATACTCATGTTGTACATTAGATCTCTTAATATTTACCCTACAGAACTGCAACTATGCATTCTTTGATCTGTATCTTTCCATCACCAACCACTGTTTTACTGTTTCTATGAATTCAGTTTTTTTAAGGTTCCATGTATAAATGAGCTCAGGTATTGTTTTTCTTTCTGTGTCTGGCTTATTTCTCTTAGCACAGCAAAGTATCCTCTATGCTCATCCATGTTGTTTGAAATGATAGATATCCTTTTTTTTATTACTTATTCATTCTAATTTGTTATACATGATGGCAGAATGCAATTCATTTCATATTACATGTACAGAGCACAATTTTTCAAGTCACTGATTGTACACAAAGTATTTTCATACCATTTGTAGCTTCATACATGTACTTAGGGTAATGATGTCTAACTCATTCCACCATCATTCCTACCCCCTTGCTCCCTCCTTTCCCCTCCCTCCTCTTTGCCCTATCTAAAGTTCCTCCATTTTGCTCAAGCTCCACCCCACCATCACCATTATGAGTCAGCATCTTCATATCAAAGAAAACATTTGGCCTTTGGTTTTTGGGGATTGGCTTGCTTCACTCCAAATTTATCCATTTATTTACCTGCAAATGCCATGATTTTATTCTTTTTAATGTTGAGTAATGTTCCATTGTGTGTGTGTATGTATATGTATATGTGTATGTATGTATGTATATATATATATATATATATATACCAAAATTTCCCTATCCATTCATCTACTGAAGGACATCTAGATTGGTTCCATAATTTAGCTATTGTGAATGGGTGCTACTATAAACATTGATATGGCTATGTCCCTGTAGTATGCTGATTTTAAGTCCTTTGGGTATGAACGGAGGAGTGGGATAGCCAGGTCAAATGGTGGTTCCATTCACAGTTTCCCAAGGAATCTCCACACTGCTTTTCAGATTGGCTGCACCAATTTGCAGTCCCACCAGCAATGTATGAGAGTGCCTTTTTTCCCACATCCTTGTTTGTATTATTGTTTGTATTCTTGATAGCTGCCATTCTGACTAGAGTGAGATATTGCACGTTTTTTCATGTTTGTTAATTGATTGTATATTCTCTTCTGAGAAGTGTCCAGTTCCTTGGACCATTTATTGATTGGGATATATATATATATATATATATATATATATATATGTGTGTGTGTGTGTGTGTGTGTGTGTGTGTGTTAAGGTTTTAAGTGCTTTATATATCCTAGAGATTAGTGCTCTATCTGATGTGCTTGTGGTAAAGATTTGCTCCCATTCTGTAGGCTCTCTATTCACCTCACTGATTGTTTCTTTTGCTGAGAAGAAGCTTTTTAGTTTGAATCCATCCCATTTATTGACTCTTGGTTTTAATTCTTGCGCTACAGGAGTCTTATAAAGAAAGTTGTGGCCTAATCCAACACGATGGAGATCTGGGACTACTTTTTCTTCCATCAGGCACAAGGTCTCTTATTTAATCCTAGGTCCTTGATCCACTTTGAGTTTTTGTGCATGGTGAGAGATAGGGCTTTAATTTCATTTTGTTACATGTGGATTTCCAGTTTTCCCAGTACCACTTGTAGAAGAGGCTATCTTTTCTCCAATGTACATTTTTGGTGCCTTTGTGTACTTTGTGTACAAGCACTCCATCACTGAGCTAAAACCCCAGTCCATGAGTTTATTTTTGACATACGATAACTGTAATTATGATAGAATGTCCTTTCTGAAAGCTAAATAATATTTGTTTCTGTGTGTGCATTTCTATATCCATTCACTCATGGATGGATATTTTGGTTATTTCCACATCTTGTGAATAATGCCGAAATGAAGATGGAAAGGAAGATATTTTTGCAAGGTGGTGATTTCACTTCCTTTGGGCATATTGCCACGACAGGGATTGATGGTTCACACTGTAGTTATATTTTTAATTTCTTTAGAAAACCTTTATAGTGTTTTCCATTGTGGTTGCACCAATTTACATTTCCATCAACAGTGTTCAAGGCTTTCTCTTTCTCTACACACTTGGCAATATTTGTCTTTTTGATCAAAGTCATTCTAATAGGTGTCAGATGATATCCTGTTATGATTTTAATTTGTGTTTCCCCAGTGATGAGTATTTTTGAGCACCTTTTCATATATCGGTTGGCCATCTGTACGTCTTGTTGGGAGAAGTATCTAATCAGGTCCTTTGCTCATTTTTCTTCTTATTCTTTTTTTTTCTTTTCTTTTTTTGGTAGCAGGGATTGAACTCAGGGGCACTCAACCACTGAACCACATTCCCCAGCCCTATTTTGAATTTAATTTAGAGACAGGGTCTCACTGAGTTGCTTAGCATTTCATCATTGTTGAGGCTGGCTTTTTTGAACTTTTGATCTTCATGTCTCAGCCTCCCAAGACGCTGGGATTACACGTGTGCACCATCATGCCAGGCTCATTCCTTCACCCATTTTTAAACTGGGTTAGTCTTTATTTTAGCTGTTGAGTTCCCTATATGTTCTGTGATTCAACCCCTTACCAGATAGAGGGTTTACAAATATTTTCTCTCAATTCATATCCTGCCTTTTCATTTTGTGGTTTCCTTTGCTGCAAAGAAGCTTTTCAGTTTGAGATAGCCCCAGTTATCTACTTTTGCTTTTGCTGCCTGTGTTTTTAGTGTTCTACCAAAAAAAAAAAAAAAAAAAAAAAAAATCACTGCAAAACCAATGCCAAGGAGCTTTCCCCAGTTTTCTTCTAGATCTTCTCAATTAAATGTCAGTATTAAGATTTATAATAGGGCTAGGATTGTGACTCAGTGGTAGAGCGCTTGCCCTCGCACGGGCAGGACCCGGGTTTGATCCTCAGCACCACATAAAAATAAAGGCATTGTGTTATGTTCATCTACACCTAAAAAATAAATATTTTTAAAAAGATTTATAATAAAAAATATTAAGAGTCCTTTTRTATAAGTGAAATCAGCTATTACCCAAAAACACATGATTGCATCCTGCCACTAATAATGCCACATTCTCAAAATTTCAAGGACAAGGCTCTCTTTTTTAATGTCAGGCCCCTAAAATGAGATGTGTTTTTTTAATATTTTTTTTAGTTGATATATGTGCTGTGATTTGAACCCAGTACCTCACAGATGCTAGGCAAGCACTCTATCACTGAGCTAAAACCCCAGTCCATGAGTTTATTTTTGACATTTTACAATTCATTACTTATTTGTTTGCAATTTAATTGTCAAAGATTTAAGTCTATTCAAAACATAAATATTCAGTCAACAAATAGTTACTGAATGCCTACTATATATGCTAAGACTGCAATATGGAAATGAACAAGAATGCTTGCCTCATGAAAATTACTTTAACTATCTTTATCCTTGAGGAATTAAGCCTACCAAGAGAAAGACTTAAAAGCAAATAATTACAATAGTTCAATAAATGCTATAAAATAACAAGAAGAAGAGAGAACCAGCTATTTAGAAAGGTCAAAGAGATGTTTTGAGCTATATCTATAGAAGTTTATTAGCAAGACAAAAGAAAAAAGAATGCAAGCAAGAAAGGTTTCCAGTCAACTTCAAATCATTTATCGTGGCTGGAGTTTTCTTTAATTAAAAGAGCTTTCTTAGCATAAGAAACAAATTTGATAGCTATTATGATGGTAGATTCTGCATCATTTTAGTAAAAATAGGTCATGGTAAAAAAAAAAAGAGCTTTGTTTTTATTTGTTTTTGTGGAAGGACATTTTATGGAGAAACAGGGGTAGTGGAAAGAACAATAAATGTTATGAAGTTTAAAAGGGTTAGCAGCATCAAAATCTTAAAAGCTTTATTTGTCATATTATAGAGAATGGACTTTATCCTCCAAGAAAGAAATTATCAGATTCTGAAGAAATGAAATAAATTCAAATTTCAGAAAAACGGGGCTAGGGACATAGCTTAGTGGTACACAGTGTTTGCTTACCATGTGCAAGGCCCTGGGTTCAAAAAAAAAAAACAAACCCTCAAAATCCACAAGAATGTGAAGATATGGGGGAAAGTAGACATATCCTAGTATAACAGATATCACCATGATTGTCTTTGGGGGCACGTTTTAATTGTCTTTGAAAATAAGATACCCTAGCCTAGGCCATCTGATCTCCAAATTAATGGCCAAAATTAAAACTGGATGGTTTATCCTCTCTTAATACCAAACTTTTTTTTTTTTTTGCCTTCATTTCATAAGTACCTGTGAGAAATAAGACTGACACAAATCAACTTCAGTGTTTGTCAAAATCATTATTATTTGTGGAAATTGTAAAAAATATTTAAAGCTATCTGGGCTATGCTCCCCATTACAATTTAGATCAATAATCTCCAAAGAGTAGTAACTGCACCAGGGGATGAAAAAGACACCACTGAGATAAAATAAGAAAATATAAGATCTTCTACTGACATTTACTTATAACT